GAACTACAAATGGCCCTTACTGATGTGAAATTGTTAGCACTGCCAATTGCATTTCTGGGAATTTATCCCGCAGATATATTTGCACATATGTGACGTGACATATGTGTAAAGTTACTCACTGCAGCATTGTCTATAGTAGCAAACCTTTGGAAGCCACACAAATGTCCATCAAGAGAAAAACCAATAACCTAAATTATGGTGCATCCATACAACTCAATCCTAGATAGCTGTAAAGAAGAACAAGAACACTTTTTGGAACTATTACGGAAAGAACTGCTGGATGTACTATTAAAAGAAAAACACATCTACTATCATGTATAACTAATTAGAACAAATAGAAATGATGATGATGATGATAATAATAATAATAATAATAATAATAAATGGGAAAACAAAGAAAAACACAAAAGATCTGTCAATTACAACTTTACAAAAATAGTAGGAAGCAAATATACACATTCATATTACTTACATATGGGTAAAGAAACTCAGGGAAGTTACACTAGAAGCAAATGACAGTGGCTAACTATGATGGGAGAGGACAGATTTGGCAGATGAGGGAGATGACTTTTTTCTTGCATACATTATTATAGAAATATTTTTAATTTTTTTCCCAAAACACTACCTAATTTTGCAATAACTGATTCACTCCTTTAGCTCCAAAAGCAGATTCTTCATCAAAATGCCAATATTCCAGGGAGAAATCATCAGATCCTTTTTTACTTCTAAGAATCCATTCTGTCTTTTCTCTCCCCCACTTTGGAGATCTCCAAGTGAATCAGCCCCTAGGTGCTTTGAACATTGGTTACTAAAGAGCTTAGTTGCTGCTAACTGAAAATGCTCAGAGGTTATGTACTCCCCTTCCACATATATACACACTAGAGTACAAGTCACATGTGATAACTGGCTCCTTGCTCAAGGTGGAACTTCTATGGTGCCATTCACACTCCTCCGTATGTATGAAATCAGGCTGCAACTAGATTTTAGTGAACCCATATTGTTGCCTCGTTTCTTCCTGTTAGGTCTTGCTTCCCTGACTTCCTTATTGGTTTCTTCTGAGAGCTGCCTGCAATAAATTACTCACCTCTGAATCCCTGTCTTTGGTTCTGCTTATGGGACCCAACCAAAGACACCCATGAAGTAAATCACACTGAAAGATAATAGATGCCTTTTTCCAAAATGAATGCTCAGTATGCATTTTTGTGCCTAGCAAGAACATTTGCCACCAACACAGGTTATGCTGGGCAAACTTAGTACAGGTCAACAACTCATGAGTCTCCATCCCCGCCACCTATAGACCCAAGGTTCCAGGACCACCAGCCATTGAACCAATGTCCTAAATCATGAGCCTGGCCTCATTAGCTGGATTTCCTGGCAACTGGCTAAGCAGGACAGGACAGCACAGCAGGGTTAGGATGAGGAGGGGGTCGAAAAGTTGAGAGTGAACATCCATTGGTTTTGCCTGCCATGAGAGAGACAGTGAGTCATCCGCCATAATAATCCATCCCCCCATTTTGACACACAAAAGTGTGACTTTTTTTTCCCATCTAGTTAATGTGGCAAAATCCTCCCCATGGGTCCTTCTCATGTGAGTGGAAAGGTCATGTGCCTCATCCAGGCTAGCACCTTCAGGTAGCAAGTGTGACTCTACCATACCCATACCAGATACGGCTGTCACCTTGCCCAGGTTCGTCAGCTTCCAGGTCTATATGCTAAAGGCTGCTTTTATTTATCTCTGCATAGAGATTTTCCAGGCATATAAAACATGCATGGCCAATGCACCAGGCAAGTTGGAAGAGCCCAGAAATGAATGCCCCAAATGGCAGTGTCCCTCCACCAATGATGGATGGGTAGTTAGTGGACTTTCCTCTTCCCAACCACAGGAAACAGACATGTTCTACACTGCTTCCCAGAGGGGATGAACTCCAGTTGCCCACTGTAGAAATTCTAACTCTGTTGCTTTTACTGTCTCTCTTTCCTGTCCCACTTGTCAGGGCCCCTACAGATGCTTCCTGGGTCACCTCCTAAGCAATCAACTGGCTTCTAGAGGAATCGAAACCAAGATGACTATGCATTGAGACCCACAGAAACCCAGCTTCAACCATGCATATCTTGATAACATCCTCGGACATGGCAGAGCAATAGGAGAAATCTGGGTTCTTGAGTGATGCACTGGGGGAGAAGCACCTAACCGAGAACTGCTATGTGAAAAACAACCTTCTCCTTTATGCCACAGGATTTGCTGGGCATCTTTGTGAGAGCACCTGTGCCTTATCTTAACTAGTACCCATCCCCTTCCCAACATCCATTCCATCCTCAGATCATGGCCTCTTCATTTGCTGCAGGGGAACCACCCTCCGACCACTTGTAGGCTAGGATGGAGCTGACCTGCTTACTGCACCTGATTCAGGGGAAGCAGGAGCATGTGACTGAGGCCTGGGCCAAGAAGGTGGCACACATCCCAAAGGAGTGATGGTTCAGGGTGGATACCAGAGCCAAACCAACCCAAGATCTTAGGCTAAAAAAGAAACCCTCCTCCAGGTTATTGCACTGTGGGATACAAATGCAGAACTGTGGACAGCCATCTGGGCTTCACTTGAGAGCCTGAGAAAGAAACCACCATGGGTAAAACAGAGCTTAGAGATGGAGGAAAAGATGAGAGATTAAGCTGTCATTTAGGTACTAGTTGTGGCCACCCCTGAAACCAGAATAACCCTAGAGTTTTCAATTAGTACATTCCCTTCTTTGCTGAAGCCATTTAAAAAAATGTTTTTTTGTTGTTGATGGACATATTTCCTGGGTGAAACAGGCCACAGGCCATTTGTCTGAACCTGCCACAGATATTCCTTGCTAGGAAGGTTTGTTTTGTTGTCTGCATTACCCAGATAACTAAGGCAAAAGAAAAAAAAAAAATTAGGCAAAAAAAAACCAAAAAACAAGTCAACTGCTTTCTAACCTTTCTCTGTGGCAAAAGCTAGAAGATACAAGGTCAGCAACTTGTCCTCTGGAATTAGGACCAAGCCCTTCATGTTCCTGGCGTGCTGCACCCTGTGCCATTTGCAGTCCCCAGGTCAACACTGCTGAGGGTTGAATGTGGTCAGTCAGACTGTGTTGTGCCACAACTCAACTCATGTACCTGGGGCTTCTGGTAAGGCAGAAAAGATCCTGCAGGCTGGTTAAGCCTCACCAGTCAGGGGAGCTGAAAGGGATGAGGTTCCCCAAAGTCAGGAACCACCTCCGTGTGCTCCCATTTGAATCTGAAGCCTTTTTTCTTCCTCCTTGAGAGAGGGAGAAAATAGAATGGTTTGAACTAGACCTGAAGGCCTCTGCAGTGGCCTCCTCTGCTCGTAGAGACAAGACTGCTGACTCCTGGGGATGCCCTGCAGATGTTCCAGAAGACATCTGTGCAGGGAAGGTTGCCCAGCTCACCACCTGGCACATCACAGGTGTTTCACAAAAGGGTTTTGCTTCCTTCCTTCTGAAAGAAATGCAGAGATTTGGAAGAGAAATGATAACGCAAAACACTTAAAATGCCCAGGTCTTGGCATAACGCCTGGCTTGGAGTACAGGAGAGAAATGAAAGGAGAAAGGAGAGGAGAGAAAAGAAAGGAAGAGGATAGAGAGTGGGAAGGACGGGAATGGGGAGGGAAGAAATAAGAAAATAGACTCATTATCCCAACATTTCCATAAACCAAGGACAGGCCCTGGCAGTGCCCAGGGAACCCGGGTAGGCAGAGAGATAACATAAAGCAGCTGATCAGCAATTCCTACTCAATTCAGGCAGCAGCTCACATGTCTGAGTAAAAGCCTCTCCCAACCATGGGGCTTCCTGGGAGAGGGTTCTGGACCCTTCCTGCTGCTCTGTCATGGAAGGACCTTGAGAACTACTTTGTCGTGCCCTATCTCTCTAATCTCAACTTTTGCCCTATCTCTCTCATCTCAACTCTCATCTTGACTTAACTGTTAACCTCCCCTGCCTCAGGGAATGGGCATCCAAAGTGAGCAGAGATGGCAAAGGAGACTGCACCAGGCAGGTACACTCTTGTGTGCAAGCGGGTTGCTCATGCTCCAGGGTTTGCCGCATACTTTACCCAGTGCCAGACTCAAGGGAGGAAGCAGAGCCTCCACCCAACAACTCCCTGTCCCCAAAAGCCAAAGGCCTCTGCAGGTGCCCCCAGGCCATCAATAAAGACCAGAGTGGATGAATTCCCTGGTATTCCCATTCCAGGTATATCTGCCCACCAACTTGTTGCTCAATGCTTTCGACCAATCATTTGTTCTTCCCAAACATCAAAACTGGCTTCCTTGCCAGGTGCAGTGGTACACTATTATAATCCCAGAGACTTGGGAGGTCAAGGCAGGAGGATTCAAGTTCAAGGCCAGCCTCAGCAATTTAGTGAGACCTTAAGCAACTTAGTGAGTCCTTGTCCCAGAATAAAATAAAGTCAAGAAAAAACTGAGAAGCCGGGTGCTGTGGTGCATTCCTGGAATCCAAGTGCTCAGGAGGCTGAAACAAGAGAATTGAAAGTTCAAAGCCAGCCTTGGCAACTTAGTGAAACACTGTCTCAAAATTAAAAAAAAAATTAAAAAGGGCTGGGGATGTGGCTCAGTGGTTAAGTGCCCCTAGGTTCAATTCCTGATTTAAAAAAAAAAAAAAAAAGGACTAGAGATGTAGCTCGGTGGTAAAGCAGCCCTAGGCTTAATTCCCAGTACAAAAACTAAATAAATAAATGAAAATTTGCTTCCTCAAACCTATGAGACCATCAACCTCCCCACAAAATAACCTGGAGTCCAACGTTACACAATAAACCCTAAACACAGAATTATAGGTCAACACTCTATTTTGTTTGGAAAGAGAACTTTCACGTGAATGTTTCATTTATTAAAATAATTTCTGTAAACTCTTTCAGAATAATAAAATTCATTTTCCTTGCTTAAATAGCATTTCAAGGCACCATAAAATGATGGTCTCTCAAGGAACACCCCTCCCTCCATGTGTGAAATTAAAAAAAAAAAAAAAAGTTCTACATGGTGATTTCAGCCGTGACTCTGATGAATGTGACTGTTCAACTGGACACAAGGGACAGGGCCTGATGCTACATGATAATTGATAACCTTGGGACAGATCCTACTGTTGATGTCTGGAAAAGACAGAGAGGTGAACTCAACACTTGCAATTAAAAAGAGCCAGTGGAAGTCGAGCACCGTTGGTTGTGCTCGCCTATAATCCCAGAGACTCAGGAGTCTGAGGCAGGAGGATCCCAAGTTCAAGGCCAACCTGGGCAACCTGGCTGCATCACAATCTTAAAATAAAAAGGGACGAGGGTGTAGCTCAGTGATAAAGAGCAGCTGGGTTAAATCCTCAGTACTTAAAAAAAAAAAGCCAGTTGGATGAGGGGAGGGTATGACAGCCTCCAAACCAAAAGTCCCAATAAACATGGCGGCACTAGCATTTCTCTTTCCCTTCCTCATCCTCCTCATTTCTTCTCCTCTTCCTCACTCAGGAGGGTATTTTCCTGGTGTGTGGACATCAGCTTGCTCTGCAAAAGGGCTGCCAACTTTTTGGATGTCTTTTTGAGAAACGTGCTGCCCGGGTGGGCACTGTTCACGTGGAGGTACAGGTCCTCCTGCGTGGGGCCTGTGTAGCCACAATCCTCACAGACATAGAGTTTGTCCCGACGTTGTTTGTAGGCATACTGCTGCTGTACCCCGTGGATTTTCTTCAGGTGGGACTCCAGGGAGCAGCGCTGGGTGAAGGCTTTGTTGCAGATGTCACATTTGTAGGGGCGGATGCCTGCAAAGAGGAGGGACAGATACATCATTGTCAGGTCACAGCCAATCCAAAGCCTCTCAATTATGAAGCCACTAAAAATCACCAAGACCAAGATTTATGGCAACATGAGAAAAATGATTAAAGCGAAACACAAAACCATCTGCAAAACATCATAGCATCCACACAAGCAAACCTGACACAAAAATGCCAACAGAGCAAAACTTCCTCCGGGAGGGATTCTTGTTTTTCCCACATGTATGCCTTAATGTTTTCATTTTACAGTGGGCAAAGTCAACTTTGTTTTTTCTTTTCTTTCTTTGCTTTTTTTGGGGGTTAGGTGGGGTAAGGGCGGGGAGCACTGGAGATTTAACCCAGGGGTGCTTTACCACTGAGCTACATCCCCAGCCCTTTTTATTTTTATTTTGAGACAGGGTCTCACTTCTAGTTTTAAGGGCCTGCTAAGTTACCCAGGCAGACCTCATATTGCAATCCTCCGGTCTCAGCCTCCCAAACTGCCACCATACCCAGCTTTGGTTTTCTTTTATGTAGTTTGGGTTTTCTTGGAAACACACACTGAATCAAAGATTTCAGTCCAAGTAGTTTGAGAGGCCATCCTGGGAAGCACCAATTGGGTACTGAAGAAGCGAAACAGGAAAGGGAAGGAGCCAGGGCTGGGTGAATTACCACGCCACTCTCTGCAGTGGGCAGCTGGGTCCAATTCTGCTGGGCAATGTAGTAGGCAGTGTAGTGCACACACCCATACTGTTCAAACATTACAACCACATAAATGAAATTAAGTGATAACCATAGCAGGCCAGGGGTATAGCTCAATCATGGCGCACCTGCCTGGTATGCACAAGACCCTGGGTTTGGTCCTCAGAACGTCCATTAAAAAAAAATACCCAAATCAGAGTAAGATCCAATTTAGGCTCTAGAGGGAATGATCATGGCTATAAAGGAGGGATGGGAAGCATGATAGCCTGGAGAGGTGAATATGGTACTAGGGCTACACGAAGCAGGCTGCTGCCATGGCCCTTGAACCATCTTGGAGCCTAGGAGACAGGAGGGCTGCCATCTGGAGGAATCCCCCAAGGCCCGTACAGATTTCTGGGCTTGCCTTGACTCTAGGAACTAGGTGTGGGAGCTAGGAAACTGTATTTCAGTTTTTACATTTAAATAAAAGCAGTTGCCTACCACAGTGGCACATGCCCATAATCCCAATAATTTAGGAGGCTGAGAAAGGAGGATCCCAAGTTTAAGGCCACCCTGGGCAACTTAGACTCTGTCTTAAAAAAAAAATAAAAATAAAAAGGGATAGGGATGTAGCTCAATGGCAGGGTGTCCCTGGGTTCCATTCCTAGTACCACAAAGGAAAAAATAATTTTTCTTCACATAACAATATTCCTGCTGATTTTTCCACATTGGTGCTTACATTAATTTCAATCCTTTTAACAGTACCATGGTGTCTCACTGTATAGCTGAATCCAAATCTCTTATTTTAAAAACTATGAAGACTGGGCTAGGGATGTGGCTCAAGCGGTAACGTGCTCGCCTGGCATGTGCGGGGCTCTGGATTCAATCCTCAGCACCACATAAAAATAAAATAAAGATGTTGTGTCCGCCGAAAACTGAAAAATAAATATTAAAAAATCTCTCTCTCTCTCTTAAAAAAAAAAAAAAAAAAAAACTATGAAGACTGAGGAACTACTCCTCCAACCCAAACCCTCCCATCACATTACAGTGCTTTGTACAACCTAATAACTTATGGGTGGTCCATGGACCAACAGTGACCACATCAGCTGGGAACATGTGGGAATACAGAATCTCAAATCCTCTTGTGGCTTGGATGTGCTCTGAGTATGTGCCCCATAGGTGCATGAGCTGGAAGATTAGTCCCTAAATATGGTGGTATTGGAGATGGCAGAAACTTAAGTTGAGGGGCCTGGTAGAAGGTAATCACATCTTGGGGGCTCCATCCTCTTGAAGGGATTAATGTGGCTCTCACAGGAATGGATTAGTTCTCCCAAGAGTAGATTGCTATAAAGGGAGACCACCGCCTACACTTGGCCCTTCTCCGTGTGGCCAGTTCCCTTTCTGCTTTTATACCATGTTGTAATAAAGCAGAATGATGCTGGCACCTTGCTATTTGGACCTTTTAGCCACCAAAATCCTAAGCCAAATAAACCTCTTTAATTACTAAGTACCCAGCCTAAGATATTTTGGTATGGCAACAAAGAACAGAGTAATATGGGCTCTAACCTAGACCTACTGAATAGGAATCTAAAATCAGATATTCTCAAACTTGATAGAGCATTAGACTAAGTATAGATTCCTGTGGCACATGCCTTTAATCCCAGGCTGAGGCAAGAGGATCAGAAGTTGAAGGCAGCCTTAGCAACTTAATGAGACCTTGTCTCAAAATAAAATGAAAAAAAGAAAGAAAGAGAGGGAGGGAGGGAGGGAGGGAGGGAAGGAAGGAGGGAGGGGCAGGCTGGGGTGTAGCTCAGTGGTAAAGTGTCCTGGTTCAATCCTCAGTATGAAAAAAAAAAAAAGAAGAAAAGAAAAGAAAGAAAGAAAAGCAAAAAGATTCCCTATCCCAGCCTGGAATTTCTGATTCTGGGGGCGGAGCTGACAATTTCTATTTAACAAGTTCTCAGGTGATAATAAGACTGCTTCTGGATCACTCTTTGAAAACCCCAGGACCAAAACAATGCAAAATTAAGCCTAAGGACAGCAGTCAGACATCTGAAGGCAGCCAGGCCCCAAGGCTCTTCTCTTAAAGGCTGAATGTCCCCAATTCCTTACTGACAGTTCATGGAGTGGGGATCAAGAGAGCCACTTAGAGCGGGCACAGTGTTGCACACCTATAATCTCAGCAGCCCAGGAGGCTGAGGCAGGAGAATTGTCAGTTCAAAGGCAGCCTCAGCAACTTAGTGAGGTCCTAAGCAACTCAGCAAGACACTGTCTCTAAATAAAATACAAAAAAAGGGGTATGACTCAGAGGTTAGGCACCTCAAGTTAAATTCTGGGTACAAAAAAACAAAAACAAACAAAAAAGAGCCACTTAGCCACTTCTGCTCATTATTATTATTTTTGTTTGACTACACAGATGACAAGTTCAAAATGAAAAAAAAAAAAAAAAGGATTTCTCCTCCACTCCATCCCACTACTTCAAAAAAATCAAATCGTTTCCATATTTCTTCCAGTCTACATCCAGAAGCACAATTTCCTACAACACCCACATAAGAAAAATGTGTTGGAGCAATGTCCTGGTAAGATGTTATTCCAGCTAATCAGGTAAAATGCAGGCCTTTATTATATTCTACACATTCTAGAAAGCTGCCAAAGAAGCACCCTTTATAATCTTCAGTAGCACATAATGGGTACTCAGTAAATAGTTCTTATTTTTATTTTGGTACTGGAGATTGAACTCAGGGGCGTATAACCACTGAGCCACATCCCCAGACCTTTTTTGTATTTTATTTAGAGACAGGGTCTCACTGAGTTGATCAGCTCCTTGCTAAGTTGCTGAGGCTGGCTTTGAACTCACGATCCTCCTGAGCTGCTGGGATTACAGGCGTGTGCCACCACACCTGGCTCAGTGAATAGTGTTTAAATGAATAAATGAATGAACCCTACTAACCTTGGAAAAGAGAGGTCACATCTTTGGGACAAGTTTTTACAAAGTAAGGGCTATTGATGTCTCTCCTAAGGAATATACCTACTTTATCTTTCACTTTTGCACTGTGATGCAAACTTGTGTATTAATGGGTCTTTTGGGCTGGGAGCTGGCTCCCACCATCCCTCGCTGGTCAAACTGCAAACCTAATTTCAAACCTACAGGTCATCAAAACAAATTTACCTAGAGACCAATTGCCTTTTTCTGTAGTTATGGGAAATGATCTGCTGCTGTTTTAAAATGTCCAGACTAAAAATAGAGGAAAACACACTGACATCAGGCTTCAACGTGGATCAAAAAACTTCTAGATGCCCAGAAATGGATGTTTCCCATGTTACTGGAAGTTCCTACCCAAAGGGTGATCTGTCTCTGGGAGAAGGCAGTGGTACCTCCACCTAAGCCCAGTGTGCCTAGGGCCATGTCTCCTTTTCCTCTTCATTCAATACATCTTCTCTGTCTTCTCTTTGCAGAGTACCCAGAAAGACCAAATAGCAAAGGATAGAATTCAGAGTCTGGTACCACATGGACCATGGAGAATGGAGATGACTGTTGCATCTCCACTGGGGGTGGGGGTGGGATTTGAGCCTGGTTTGGAAGTTGGGTGACTCACAGACACAAACATGAGTTCTGGAAGCTCTAGTTAGGGTGTTTCTGACTTGTAAACCTGACCCCCCCACACTCCCACCCCTAGGCAGACAGACATTGGTCAACCCCAAAGCTCCTTGGTGTCTGTTTCTGGGCCTGGGAACAAGTTCTCCTCACGCCATGCATTCAGGGGATGAAGGCGGTGGACAGACAGGAGCCCTGGACAAGGGGGACTGAGGCCGAGCCCTGCCCCCAACACTGAATCTTCACCCATCTTAGTGCTGCAGAGCAAAGGCCAATCTTCTCCACTTCTAAAGTGCGGAACTGGGAACTGAAATGCATCATCCATGCCAGATATCATTAACCTACTGACACCTACGTGAGTACCAAAGTCCAAGGCCAATGAAAAGCCAGGCTTCACACATCTGCCACTCATTAACTGGGTCCATGGTGAGACTGCTTAACCCCTCCAAGGCTCAGTTGCCTGGCCTGTAAAGTGGGGATAACACTCACACTCCCATGGAGGCTGCTCTGAGGGTTAACTGCGACATCACACGCAAAGCACCCGGCAAGACTAAGGACTCAACAAGATACAAGGTCAGTGCTCACATCCCTCTTGACATGATGCAAACACGCCCATCCACAAGCTGTCTGGTGCCTATATACATATTTCTTTTTACACTGTCAACTTTTCTATCCATGGGCACTTTTGTATGTATTATTTGTTTCACAACAAAAATGTCTGTTTTTAAAATATTTTCAAAATAATTTTTAAATTTTTTAAAATAATTTTAAACACGGTCACTAGATGGCTGGTGGAAAGATTTCTCTTACTTTCTGCCCTTGGGAATGCTGTACCACAGGCCTGTATTACCTCCCTCCCTGCAAAATATTCTTTGTTCATTATGAAAACAGAGTTTCTCAGGCTGGGGTTGTGGCTCAGTGGTACAGCACTTGCCTAGCATGCATGAGACACTGGGTTCAATCTCCAGCACCACATAAAATATTAAAAAAAACAACAGGGTTTCTCAGGTCAGGTGTGATAGTGCATGCCTGTTAATACCAGTGACTCAGGAAGCTAAGGCAGGAGGCTCACCAGTACGAGGCCAGCCTCAGCAACTTAGCAGGAACCTGTCTCAAAATAAGAAGGGCGAGGGATGCAGCTCAGTGGTAGAGTTGCCCTGGGTTCAATACCCAACACTACATAAAAAAGTGCGTGGGGGGGGGAAGGTGGCTTCCTTTTCAAGTTTTTTATTCCTAACATCAAATTAAGCTTCATAGCACAGATCCTCAAGAAAATTCTCTGCTACTGGAATTTTCTGCTTGAGTTCCTTGCTATAGCTCATGTGTCCCTTTTTGAACTTGATCCAAACATGAACTTCAACAAGAAGTTTTTATAGGCCTCCTTGTGGGAGCAGACACTGAGGGCAGTCTTCTGGGAAGGAAATTTGGTGAAGCCTATAAAAAAAAAAATCATAATGTCCTTACCCTTTGGCCCAGCAATTCCACTTGAGGGAAATTATACTATAGAAAGACTTCCACAAGTAGACAAAGGATATATGAGAATATTCATTCACTCATGGCATTATTGCCTGAAATTAAAAACGAACCTGAACATGGAAACAAGTGTCCACTGGGGAACTAAAAAAGGACTGTGTCTCCATGTTGGAAACTTTGCCATGATTTCATATTAAGAAATGCTCCAAAGAGTGTGGTGGCTCACACTGTAATTCCAGTAACTTAGGAGGCTAAGGCAGGAGGATCAAAGCCAGCCTCAGCAACTTAGTGCACTTGGGTTCAATCCCCAGTACCAAAAAAAAAAAACTTCAACAACTAATAAAAAGAGTAAGATGTGCTTACTATGCAGATATAAGGGAAGCTCATATCTATCTAAATCTATCTATCTATCTATCTATCTATCTATCTATATATTTTAATACATATATATAACATAAAAAGGCAATGTGCATTAAAAAACTTCTAGAAAATAATTAAATGACCACGTGCTTTCATGAGTGCAACTGGGCTTGGGCCAGCAGAAAGAGGTTTACTCATTTTTTCCCCTCTTAATTTTCCTCATATGTATATATATATATATATATATATATATATATATATATATATGTATTTTAGCTAAAAATATAAGTTCAAATAAAAAAGAGTAAAACAGCAGGGAGAGACAGTTTGCTAAGTGGATGAGGCAATTCCACAAGATAGCCCTCTTGCTGCTACAGCGAGTATACTTGATTCTTTTTCCCCTGGTTGCCCTGCTCCAAACTTCTCCCAATCTGCATTTTTCCCAATCCAGTCAATCCTTCCCATCAGCTCCCAACAAAGACACCATTGTTTTCTCTTCTTTAATCAAGATGGGATTTGTTTGCCTTCTCATCCCTTTCAATGTAGCCCCTGATGGAAGATAAGGCAAGAGGGCTCCTGTCCTGTCCCCTGGGGTGGAGCCACACTGCAGCTTTGGCTAAGGCCCCCTTCCCCACCCCCTGACCTCAAATCTGAATTCTTCAGCTTCTCTCTATGGAATTCACAAGCTTCCACAGAAATGGCATGTGCTTTAAATGGCCTCCTTTATTCTAGCTTGAGTTGTGAGTATATTAACCAACATGAATTTATTATCTCCCTGGGCCCCATCTCCCCACCAAGACTGAGCCAGGAACCCCACTTTCTATTGTGGATGATGACTTTCTTCTCTACAGCTTTATTTATTTATTTGTTTTGCAGTACTAGGAACTGAACCCAAGGCCTCATGAAAGTGCTAAGTGCTCTACATCCCCAGCACTTTTTTTTAATATTTATTTTTTAGTTTTCGGCAGACATAACATCTTTGTTTATATGTGGTGCTGAGGATCGAACCCGTGCCGCACGCATGCCAGGCAAGTACGCTACCGCTTGAGCCACATCCCCAGCCCCACTTTTTTTTTTTTTAATATTTTTTAGTTGTAGATGACAAAACATCTTTATTTATTTATCTTTATGTGGTGCTGAGGATTGAGCCCAGTGCCTCATCCATGCTAGGCGAGTGCTCTACCACTAAGCCACAATCCCAGTTCGCCCAGCACTTCTTATTTTAAGACAGGGGGGGTTGGGGATGTGGCTCAAGTGGTAGCGCGCTAGCCTGGCATGCGTGCGGCCCAGGTTCGATCCTCAGCACCACATACAAAGATGTTGTGTCTGCCAAGAACTAAAAAAAATAAATATTAAAAAAAAAAAAAAAAGACAGGGACTTGCTAGGTTGCCAAGACTGGCCTTGAACTTTCAACCCTCATGCCCCAACCTCCTCATTGATGGGCATGAACCACCTTGCCTAGCATAAAAAACGCTATCCTAAAATGGTGAGGCTGATACACTGAGGCACTCAGGGTGAGTCTGCGCTTCCAACATGTTCCAGGTTCTACACTTTGAGTAGCAAGAATGTGGACACAAAGGGCAAAGTCCAGCATATGCTAGTGTTCAGTTATTATTTTTTACTCTAAAATACAGATCTCCTCTCTACCAAAAGCAAATCAATTACATCAACAGATAGCCCTTCTTAGGAAGTATCCCAGGTGGTTCAACATAAAACAAATAAATCCAAAGAATATTCTATTAAAAAAAAAATCCATGATGACTTTCACAGGCTGTGAACCGCATATACAATCATTTCTTTGATGTTTATATGCCCTTTCTCTATTTTGACTTGGGGTGGGTCAATAGCCATAGTTTCTGGCCTCAGCAATCCTGTCCACTCCTCTGGAACAGAGCGATTTTTTCCCCTATGATGTGTGTTGTAGGTGATGCTGACTCCCTCTCCAGACCCCCTTTCTGGGCTAGTGCACATCATCAGCTGCGGTGTGTTCTGGCAGCTAATTGTTCTTGGCTAATCAATTCTCCAAGGGAACTGACCTCCCAGAAGCTCAGGGAGATTTGACCGTCTGCCATGTCTGACTGAAAAGGGCACAGAAAAGTTTCCTGTAGACAGAACAATTCCAGGGTATCACTCATACTCCAGAGCACTCCCTGGGATGGGACTGAGACTAGACTCTGACCGCACCTCTTCCCAGCCCCCTTTTCCCACCCAATTCACTTCCCTCAGTCCCTGACAGGTTCCTTCCAAGAGCTTTCCCTTCATAATTCATTTGATAAGAAGCTGCATCCAGGAACAAGACCTAGGACAATTTGGATTAAAAACAGCCATTCATTTGCTGATGTATTTTAACAAAATGTTACCACGATTTTTTTCTGTAGCAATTGGTTCCTCTTCTCCCATCTTCAATCAGATGTCATTTAACTCACACCCCTTCCTGATCACACTCATTCTCCACCCCACCCCCATTCACTCTTTTCTTGATGAAGTCATATTCCAAAAAGGAGACCTAATCTTTTCTTTCATCGGTTTGAATATTAATATAAGATGTTTTCAGGCTCTGGTTTCCCTGGATCTTTTCCAAGAAGTTCCCTGTGTGCTTTGAGTCTTTCCCTAGTTGCCCTGTTCTAAGGATTACAAATTGGAGGCCAGTCTGAGCAACTCAGCAAGACCCTAACCCTAAGTAACTTAGCAAGATCCTGTCTCAAAATAAAAAAAAAGTTAAAAAGGCTGAGGATGTAGCTCAGTTGTAGAGCACCTCTGGGTTCAATTCTTAGTATCAAAACGGGTGGTGGCCAGGAGAACTGGTCCAAGTCGTTTCCATAATGCTATTGGGTTGACCACTTTAAGAGTGAAAATTAACATTTTTTAAATGGTTAACAATTATCTTAGTGCTTTCCCATAGAAATTAAAATGCAGGCCACTTTATAATTTAAAATTTTCCAGCAGCCTCATCAAAACCAATTGAAAGAAATAGCTGAAATTAGTTTTAATGATATATTTTGTTTTTGTTTTTATTGGTGGTGGTTTTGTTTGTTTTGTTTTTAATTTTGAGATAGGGTCTCACTAAACTGCTAAGGCTGGCCTCAAACTTGCCATCCTCCGGCCTCAGCCTCTCAAGTCACTAGGATAACAGGCATTGGCCACCTTACCCAGTTTAACAATATATTTTAATTCAATATATCCTAAATATTATCATTCCAACGTGAAAGCAACATTAAAAATTGAGATTTGGGGATGGAGTTGTGGCTCAGTGATGGAGTACTTGCCTCGCACATGTGAGGCACTGGGTTTAATCCCCAGTACCACATAAAATAAATAAATAAAATAAACATATTGTGTCCATCTACAACTTTCAAAATGTATTAAAAGGGCTGGGATTGTAGCTCAGTAGAGTGTTTGCCTAGCATGTGTGAGGCACTGGGTTCAATCCTCAGCACCAACAAAAATAAATAAATAAAATAAAGGCATTGTGTCTGTCTAAAACGAAAAAAATATTTTGTAAAAATGTATTTTAAAATATCACCATAGGGCTGGAGATGTGGCTCAAGCGGTAGCGCGCTCGCCTGGCATGCGTGCGGCCCAGGTTCGATCCTCAGCACCACATACAAACAAAGATGTTGTGTCCGCCGAGAACTAAAAAATCAGTATTAAAAAAAAAAAAAAAAAAAAAAAAAAAACAATAAAATATCACCATAAAGCCTTTAAAAAATTTGAGATTTTACCCCCTACACACCTTTTT